AGGGCCCGGCTGAGACCCGCGGATGCTTCCCCGGTGTCCCGCGGGTCCCTGCCCAGCCCCCGCCCGGGCAGGGGCGGCAGCGCCGTCAGAGCCGCGATCGAGCACGGTCGTGGTGCCCGTGGCCGGCTCTGTGCCGGTGTCACGGCGCTGGGCACATCGCGCTGGAAGTGCTGTGTCATTGTGCGAGAGGGCTGGGAACAAGTGCGGGAGAAATGTACTGCTTTTTGGCACTGGAGATGAGAATCGGAAGGAAGAGGAGGGATGTGGGCTGGAAACTGAGCGTAAGGTGGAAAAATGTGTGAAAATGAAATGCTGTGCTCTGTAGTTACTCCAGGTCTCTTTACCTATTGAAGCACTGATACGTGTCTGCTGGTTTGCTTTTCGTAGGTACAGATATACTTAATAAGGAAGTTAAATTCAGTAAAATAGCTGTGTCCCTTAGCAGACATAGACTTGGAAACATCCCTATTAGGGCATATGTGCTTTTTATGTCCTTAATTCTGGGATTATCTCAAGTTGTGAATTATGAGAAATCATATATAGCATGATGAATATAACGTCAGGACTTTTTTTTCTCTAACGTCTTTATTACATGCGGTTTTTCTGTGGCCTTACAAGCCTTAGGTGTTCTGAACTCTTTGGTACTGCTAATATTAATATTTTTGCATGTACTTATAGAGAAAGTTCATGACACAGGATATTAGCTAAAGTAAACTTACAAGATCGTACTTTCTTTTTCATAAGTGTTTCCTAAACAGGACAAAAGAGTTTATCTTATTTAATGTCAATTAAGTATTCACAGTAGGAGAAGTCTCTGAAGCTTCTAGACATTGGATTGGGCAGAGTCTTGACTTGCTGTTCAAGAAGGTGAAATCAGTTTTGCTTGACTCTAGCAATAATGCTAAAGCAAAGTACTGTGCAGGCTTTCTGGGTGGACCAGAGAGACCTAATAAAAACTGACCATCATTTGGCTTCTAAGTGTTCTTTCTTACAGAAAATAAGAACCTCTGTAGGGGTCCATATGAATCCTCAAGTGAGGTCATAGCTTTGAGATGTTGAGTGTTCAGGCCACTTAGTCTGTTATCTCGAGTATTTAGGAAAGACCTGTGATAACTGGGCTCAAACCCACTCCATTGTTGTTCTTTCAAATTAAAACACCACTTTCTAGTAATAGAATAACTTTGTGTTCCATTACTGAGTTTTTATCCAAAGGAAATTAGATCATGCAAATCTATGTTTAGGGGTGAAAACATGGACTTTTGGGGTTTATTCCAACCTAAAAATTTACTTAATTTATGAAATCAAGTTATGTATCAAAACCAGATGTGCCAAATTTTTATAGGGTAATTTAAACTATAGCATAAGTATACTACAGTAGATGAAAATAGGTGTAAATGAGTCACGTAAGAATCTTTTGTACAGTGCATTTCAGAATATAAAAATGTAATGTGTAAAGTGATAGAGCAGGGGTTAAAAAAATCCCTAAAATCCTAAGAATTGTTTTTTGTTTCTGAAGTGAAAAATTAAAGAATCAGTGGTCAGCATATAAAAATATATTTTTAAGGAGCTCAGCCATGACAAGGTTGTGGTTTTGTTGTATATTAGTAATACTTAATGGCAGTGGACTCTCAAGTGATCTTAATACTTTCAATCCCAGATAATGCTCTACCTTTTTCACTTTTGTTTAGTCACAGGCATATAATGTAGCACAGAGTAATAACTATTATACAATTGGAGGCTAATAGTTTCAATATCCAGATGCTGCAGAATCTTGTCCTACAGAGATGAGAATGTAATTTAGGCTTTACTTTCACCCTCCTCCCCACCCCAGCAAGGAAGATTACATGGGCCTTTCTGACTCCTCTTTACTCACTGTGATTTTAGAGCATCATTTTGCAGTCTGCCCTGCTGATCCTCTATGACTGAAGCTGCTGTTTGTTGTGCTGGATATGAGTTACTGGGAGATTTTTTTCAAGTTTGTAGTTCTGTCTGAGCTACTTGTGTGCTTGTAGATAAAAACGTTTGTATTAATTTTAAGTTGTTTGAGCTTTGTTTTTTTCTCTCTTTGAAATTCAGATAATCAATAAAATTTGATGAAAAAAATCAATGGAATATAAATTGACAAAATTTTGTTTTGATGAAAAATCAATGGCATATAAATTGGCAAGGGCAAAGCTTATTGCAGGTAGTTCTAAAGGATAAGCTCTTCCCTTTGAGCAACTAGCAATACAACTAAATCCAAATAATGCATTTTATATACAGCGTTTTTTCTTCACCTTTTTTTCCCAGTTCTTTTCTTTTGCTCTCACAGCACAATTTCTATGCTACTTTGTCTTTTCCCATGATAAAATTTGAGTAGGGAAATTTAATTGTAATGCCTTCCACACGTGTGTCTTTAATCAGTGACAAATGCATTTTCCTGTCCTGGTGAATCTCAAATATTAATTTTGTTGCCTGTCAGTGTTAGAAAAAGGAGGAGAAAATGCAAAGACCAGGCTTCATTCTTAGTAAGTTAGCTGTTCACAGTGAATTAGTTTTTGCTGTTTTACCCCACTAAATTTCTCCCCTGCTTTCCCCATATCTCCATTAGTGTTTTATGTTACTTTAGGCCTTAGTCTGCAAAGCTTTCTGTGCATGGGCAGCAGATGGCTTACTAAAATGGAAGAGAAAGAACAGTGTTATCTCTTTAAATACATTGATAGACTTTGAGAAATAAAAAGTTCCAAGTGTCAAAATTAGGGGGCACTTTTTTTTTTAACATTTAAAAAACTGTCTTTCAGTAGGAATAAACTAAGAAACTGAAAAAAAAAATCAAGTAAGCCAACTTCTGTTTTCATAGTGATTCTGAACCTTTCATTTTCATTATTTTTCTAAACTATTTTGTTTTATTTTATTTTTTTAATAATGAATCACGAAGTGTGTGATCAGTAATTTGTCAAGGGTGATGTGCCAGATTACTTTATTATAGGAAAAATATAAATAAGGTTAGTAAATGTGTTATGTAGACATAAAGTTTTTCCCTACAAAGGCAAGACAGCTTCTGCTGTCTTGGGAACCCAGAAATAGCTGATTAGAGGTATCAAGTGATGTTTGCAGATGCTTGTCTCAATTTGCCTTTGCTTCTGCATCACAGATAGTTTTTGTCATTTGTCCATTGACTGTCTGCATCTGATGTGAGGGAACAGAGAATGTGTCTGTTTTGGCAAAAGCATCTGATACATATTTACTTTTTTAATCTGAAAAAGGTGTTTAAATACAAATCTGTAAGGATGATGCTACAGATTATCCATAAGTATGCAAAATATCTCTTAGGAAGTTTTAATCTCACAAGCCATGATGTGTGTGTAATGATGTTTTTCACCAAGTTTCATTTTTGTTGTAATTACAGAAACTCTGAGATGTGTTTTAGATCTTTTTGTCTCATAAACACTTGAATGTGATCCAGACTTTTCTGGTAAATTTACCAGAAGTCTGCCTTTCCCTGAGGCTGAGCTAATTGGTCAGCAAGATGTGGTACCAAAGCAGCACAGCATACAGCACAGCATTTAGATCTGGTTTTCTGTCTTTAGATTGGACTGGTTTAGATGAAGATGAAGATGCACATGTCTGGGAAGACAATTGGGATGATGACAATGTAGAAGATGATTTCTCCAATCAGTTAAGGTAATTTTATTTAAATTTACTGTTCTAGACAACAGGTAAAATACTTAAAAGGGAGTTGATTAGTTAATGGCTTAAAGTTTGAAATCTGCTTACTTTAAAAAAAATAAACATCTGAAACAGAAATAAATGAAAGCTCTGCTTTTTGCTTTTCTCTTTAAAGCCTTTTAGAACTAGGGATTACAAGACTCTGAAGTACTGATCAGCATTTCATCTTTTAATAATTATGCTGAAATATGCCTTAGGACATTGTGGTGACAGAATTTTGCTCTGTTACACAAACAACGCAAAGATCAAAGAAAGCTGAGATACAGTTGACACTTTGTCAATTTAACATGAATGGATCCTCTTCTAATGACTTTTCTACATGTGTGTGAAAGTTTGGAATTGTACTGCCAAGATTAATGGCAAGGCATCCAAGATTATCCCTTTGTGCTATGTGGTGTGCAAAGTATGTTACAGTTTTATGTCTGTACTTTAAAACAGCACTGCTGTTTGTCCAAATGGGCAAATTTTCTGGAGATTAGTCATCTGTATGGAAGTTAAGGTTCTTTCCTATGTGATCCACATACTGTTTATGAGCAACAACAGCAAAGTAATTGTTAATTACATGCTTTAAAAAAAGTGATAGCAATTTGTGTACCTCTAAACCAGTTGCTTAATCCTCTTTGTCACTTGCAGTTTCAGTAATCCTTTACTGACGCATAATTGTAACTTAAATTGTTTCAAGCATTCAGAACAAAGCCAGATTTTATAATTAATCCCTCAGTATGTGGCATGAAGAGCAAAATGTCTGTAATATGCCTGCTTAAACAGTTCCTGGGTTGATCTCCCTTGTACTCCAGGGAAAGAAATTAGTTTTGTATCTTCTGCATAAAAAATCGTTGGTATAGTTATTTCATGGTTATTTCATGGTTGAAAGGCAGTTAAATGGTAGTATTGGAAATCATGTAGTGAAACAGACTTTCAAGAAGTACTGTAATTCTTGATAGACATAGTTGATCTATATCAAACTTTCTGTAACTGGCCTCAGTCACAGACTGCAGTATTGCTGACCATATAGTGGTTTGCAGTGTTGCTTGGTTGTAGCATGTTTCTTATATCTCTAGAAGGCAAATGCTGCAGTCCTCCACTTTGAAAGTCCTACTACTAAATGTGCAAACTAACCCAAAATATTTTTAGAGATCTGTACTTCTGCATCTAGATACACATATGTTAAGACTAGGGGATAAAACAGGATGCATCCTGGCTGGTGTCTTCAGAGGCAGGTGAGAAAAAAAGTGATGGCAGGGCAGGAGTGATAACAATTGTAGTTCCTGACTTGCTGTCCTGGCCACAACTGAGGACAACAGAGCAATTGTTTCCCTCAGAATTGTTCACTACAAGGTGTATTGTACCAAGACATAAATAAAAATTTCACACTGCACTATTCTAAAAGCAGAAAAAAAAAAAAAAGCTTACAATTGTTTTGGAAGTACATGCATTTAAGTCAAATACAATAGTGAACTTGCTTGAGTTAAGGAAATCTTGAGAATAATGCATAAGATTCTTGAGAATATAATGTATAAGATAATATTCTGGTTTTTCTAATGAGTTTGGAGATGTTGTAGGTGCATAGGTGCTGCTTTGTGCCATATGGTGGGTCAGAGGGCAATAACTGGTTAAAAGAGATATTTGAATTTTTCACTGAGAAGTCACTTATAGTGATCTAAGATAAGATAAAAAACTGGAGTTCAAGAACTAGAGCAAGTAAGGTTATGGTTGTTGGTATGACTCAAAAAGCAGTATGATATTGCTGTTTAAAATGGTTGTATATTGTTTAGTATATATTTTTTTAAAAAATCAAACATCTAACACTATTGTATGTGTTTCAATACATCTGTCTCTTTTCTATACAGAGCTGAATTAGAAAAACATGGATACAAGATGGAAACATCATAGTTTTTGCAGAAAATGGAGTGGTTTAACACTGAACTGTGGATAGACTTTATTAAGAAAAGAAGATGGAAAGTGAGAAGACACACTTAGTTCATTATCTGCTTGGATTTATTATTGTTTTGTATAAAAAATAAAGTTTTTAATCTTAGCCTAGTCATACATTCAGCCTCTACTCATCTGGTACCTTGTAGTTTGGTTCTGAAATGACTTGTGTGGTGGAATTCATGGACCTGCCTGGAATGCCTCTAATGGTCTGTCGGTGGCTGATGCTCTTGCACCTGTCCTGGGGAGCTAAACAGGTGTAACTAGAATGAAGACTAGTGAATGTTGCTGTCATAGGAAATAAAATACTTGTGTGTTCCAATTAAATTGCAGCAGAGATAGAATGCAGTTTTAGGGAGTGATACAGCTTGTTTTGCCTCTGCATTTTATTTTATAATGACTTGGGATTTTTTTCATAGTCATTTCATGTGAGTGCTGGCTTAATAAAACAGACTTCAAAGTGTCTTGCAACAGCAGAAATCCAGACTCCCAATCTGGTCCTGTCATTTCTCAGGACTGATAAAGAGGAGACTTCTGTGGAGGTGAAAGTTCTGTTCTTGCACGTATTTAAGCCTGGGAATCTCTGCTGAAATTGCTTCCAATTTGCCAGTTACAACAGTTCATCTGTATCACACAAACATACCTGCTGAGAACGGAAATCAAACTTCCAACTCATTTCTTGGAGGCCAGCAAAGATTTGCCAGAAAGATATCACAGTAGTGACTGGATTCAATTACTCTCTGAACTAGAAAACAGAAAGTGGAAATTACCACCTCTATTACCACTTCCATGAACGCTCCCCAAAGGAGCTGTTAAAGCTGGTGTATGCAAAGACTGAGGGAGATGGCAGGCATGGCTCCAAATTAGTTAGGTTTTTTTAATAAAGGCAACTATAGTTACATACTCATGGAATTTGAGTGAGCTACTTGCTTTTTAGCTGTTCATGTAGAGAAAAAGGGAATTGTTATTTAAATTTAGTTTTCAGAATAAAGGTATAGTTGATGAACATGCAGTTATTTAACCTTGTTAACCAAATAACTGAGTATCTTATGTTATAATGACATTGATTAATGCAAAATGTGAGGAAGTTTCCCCTCCCCCAGATTATTAGGTGGTGCTATTTTAATGGTGGTGGCAAGATTCACTGCGACCCTTACTGCTTTCTGAAGATAGCTATGTAAAGACTGAGAACTTCATTGCCATCTGAATGGTTCTGCAAAACTAAATGTTTTGGGTGGTGTTGGATATTGTTTGTTTACCCAGCTCTTTGCTGCTTGGGGAAAGAAAGAGAAGGCTTTTCAAGTAGGCTTGCCCTAGTTATTTAAATTGTTCCCATTGAGATGTGTGGCTCATGCAGCCCAGTTCAATAGAATACAAGTCCTGGAGTTCATATTTTGAAACATAACAAATGTAAAGTCTGTGTATTGAGTGGCAAATAGCAATACAAACATCCTCAGGTTAGCGTTGGGAGTTAAGGAAAAAAGTATGTTGAATACAGTTCTGGGATTGCTGGTGTTATTAAAACAGCAGTACTGGGAAGTTGAGTAACACAACTGACCAAAAGAAGATGACAAAGTAATTGTGGAGATGTCTGGTGCAATCTGGATAGAGACAGCTGCTCTCCATTACAGGACTCTGGAAACCTGACTAAAGCAGCCTTGTCCCATTGATTGCAAACAGCAGGAGGAAGCCATGGAGATGGGAAAGCATCTTTGTCTCAAGAATGCTTTGTTTTTGCTGAGCCTTAGTTGTATTAGTATCTTTCCCTCTTTTTTCACAAAAGCAGAATTGGAAGGGAAGCTTCAGCTGAGGTAGTGGCTCCTCACTCTTACAGTATTAACCTTCAGCTGCTGGGTTGTGATATGAAACCCCCAGCTGCAAAAAAAGGAGAGCAATCTGCTTTGAAGGTCAGTTTGATGATACGGTCTTAAATGGTGTCTGCTTAAGAGAATGTATTGCAAAGGAGTAAGTAAGTCATAGGCAAAGTGCTTTAAGAATGTAGCTTACTGCAAAGTCAAACACTTTGTGGGGGCTGATTTTCTATATAATTACCACTGTGATTTTCACCACTAAATTTTCCGCCCCTCAAGTTTATTGTGTGGTCACATGGTTCTTTTTATGCACTCTAGTTTAAATATGACTTGGGAACCTTTCTACATACGATTTCTTTCTGGAAATTTTAAAACTTGGCTGCTTTTGAGACAAGCTAGAGACTTCTTGCCCCTTTTGGTTCACTTTTGACAGCTTTGGTGTTCAAGAAGGAAGTTGAGGTTGTTGGCCTGGATGTTACAGTATAATGTACTCTAATGTGCCTGCTATTCACCTTTAAAAGGAGCTAATATTCCTGTGTGCCTTTTTTAGATTGGCATTGCTGGGAGAGGTTTCCTTTGGAGGACGTTCCTGGAAGTGTTGTAATGACCCCTGTTAGCTGATGGAAAGCATGAAGTGTGGGAGACAGGAGTACTTTGGGGTTGTGAGGGAGGACCCACTGAGAGAAGACAAAAGATTTCGGAAGGAAGATCTGCAGCCTGTCAAGGGTGGGAATGTGTTGAAGAGAGGGAGGTTTGGCAAAGATCTGAGTGGAGGAGAGACTGGGCTTTCTAGTCAAGAAATTAGGACAGCACATGGAGGTGTGTGTGTGGCGATGGCTGGGTGTGGGCTGCTGGGTAGTCCCTGTTCCCTTGTAGGAAGGAGATTTAGGTTGATGTTTTCCTGTGTTTGGGGACCTGTCCTCCTCATTAGCCCATGCCTCAGCCAAGCTGTGCAACTCTTGGCCAGTATCCTTACTGTGAGCCATGCCAGGGTATGTAGCACACGTCTACAGCTCTCTGCATGAGGAAGGAGGGGGTGTTTTGCAGCGTGGGGAGGGTTGACTCGCTGTGACCTAGATGCCGAGGATGTCTCCAAGCTAACTTGGAGGAAAGCTCTGGAACATTCCAGATTGCCAATGTCTGGCACTCATGCTCTCCCTTGATCCTTGAGAAGCCATGCAGACCTGAGAAGAAATGCGAACTTACAGATAAGCACGCAGAAAAGTGAGCAGTCCAAAGGCTGTTTGGAAGGCCTTAAATTCAGCTCTTTAGTTTCAGAATGGCCTTTGCTGTTTCCCCCGCCCCCGGCACCTGCCTCTCCCTGCTACCTTGTGCAACATCACCAACAGCTTGCCCAGGTATTTTCTGCTGCTGGCTCATGGTGTGTCCTGTTCCCCTGCTGCTGCACCGTGTCCATGTGGTGCTGTGTAGAAGGAGAGAATGTGGGTCTCCGTAACAGAGCAGTGCGGCTGTTTCACAATTGCTCAAACACATTTTCCACTGTCCCTGGGAGAGGGAGAAGTGTTTTCCCCTCTTTGAAGTGTACGATTATTTTAAGTGTGAGACCCCAGGACCTCATCTTTCACTGGGTTTGGTAGTATGTAAAATGCTCTGCACGTTCAAATGTTTCTTTAGCTTCAGTTACTGCTGTGCATATTCAGCGTTTCTGCCAATCAGGATTTATGGGGTACCAAGTCAGCCACCCAGAAAAGGAGGCACATGCATTACAACCTTTGCAGCTTTTGTAAGGAATGAGGCAAGGACTCCACAAATGGCTACCTTTCCCTGCTAGCTTTTTCTTGAACCTTATTTTTTTTTCTTATCCTGTTTTCTCTTGAACATTAACAAGGACTAATAAGTCCCTCGAGGGAGGGGGTATATAAGAAAATGTGTGATCATAAAATTAAAGACTATGAAAATACATGTGGATGGGAAAGGGAATTTATATTGCACAGAGTCTCAGTTCCAGCATTTCCTATCTTCTAACTGTCTCACTTTACAGCACAAATAATAATCTTCTAATGCAGGTATGATTTTTTTTTGTTTGCATAATGATACAGCTAAATTTGATTTAATTTCAAGGCATGCAGGGAAATAAGAAGATTGATGCCCAGAAAGTTTTTGTGGTGGAATTTTACTGAAGAATAAATGTTACATAACATTTCAAACACAGTGAGATCCTTCAAGATGAAGTGTGTGATATAAATGTAAAATATTTGCAAACTATAATTTAGCAACCGTTTTAAAATCACAGTCAGTTCCAACCTCTTACATGTAGCGGGTGAGATCCTTTGTCAACTGCAAGCTAAGGGCAGTGAATGTGAGATTCATTAAGTAATTATATAGGAACATTAATTTCAAATTAATTTCAACAGTTGTTTTAGACATTAGCAACCAAATTAGGGGACCAAAGGCAAACAGTAATGCAGCTTAATACTTTTAATAAATGAAGGCATTTGAAGTGATTTACATAAATCGGATGATAAGTTCTCATTTAATGGGCTTCCAAATGCCCCCGCCTCCCCTTCCCGTTCACCTTCCAGCGTTTCCAGGCTGTGTGTGCTCTACACTTACCCAGCTCTCCTGTTACATCGTTGTTACATTATTACTCAAATCCTTCCTACATCGGCTTTATAAATAGCGGTCAGACTTTCTGGAATTTGTTATGGTGAGCTGGAACCCTTTAAGGCTTCTGAACCTACAGCGCTGGGAGGCACGGGAAGGGAATGGAGCCACTGTTGACAAGGCTTCTAGGAAAATAAATGGTGGAGAACAAAAAAAGCAGATTAGGGTATTGGGGGATGCTTGCCTACAGGCAGGGCAGGGAGATGAAAACCAGCCCATCAGCAAGTGAATGGGTCACATGTAATGGATAATGACCAGCCCTTTTCATCTTTCCTGCAGTGAGCTCAAGGCTCTTAATGAAAAGGAACAGGCGCTGGTCTGGATTTACACTGCACCTGATGGAGGCACGGCAGCTCGGTGACTCACAGGGAGGCGAAACCAGCCCTGCCAATGCTCCAGCCACCTCACCTGCCTTGCGTCCCTCCTGCCACGAGGAAAAGAAAAGCCCTTCCTTCACGGGGGAGCTGATAGTCTGTGAGATGTAAAAGGCAAGATAGGCAGCTGGGGAGCGTGGGTGATGGGCTGTGCTTCCCTTCCTCGTGGTATCGGTTCGCAGTGTCCAGCTAGGATGTGGTGGAACCGTACAATGCAAGCCTCTAACAAAGATTCCTCTAACATCCTTATGTTGGAGGAATTGTCCCAGTCACCAGGTTGTTCAGTGATACTGTCCAGCTGGCAGTAATGTCTGAACCCTGTTTTTCAAGACTTGGGTAACAAACTGATGTTATCAGCCATTTCTCCCTCAGGAAAAGCAGTGGGGTGGCTGGGTGGTGACAGCATATCCAGAAAACAAAGGTGCAATGATTCTGTTTGTGCTCAGCTAGGCGCTGCTTTCTTAGGCCACAGATATCCAGCTCAGGCCAGAAATGCACAAAGAAGCATAAGCTCTGGCAGGAGAATTTGATCAATCTTATTTTGAAATATTTAAGATGTTAGTTTCCTCCTCCCTTCCCAAGCTGGCTGTTGTGCCCTCTCTGCAGGTGAGTGTGAGCTGGCAGAGCGGAGACCCAAACATGTTTTCTTTTTGGGTGGTAG